TACTGTACAGTACGTCCAAGTCCTTAAAATACAAATGACAATAGAAAAAAAGATTAAGCGCAAAATAAGTGATTTTCATTAGGCAGAATGATAACTGGTTTTATAAGCCAGTTTCATTTGTATGCTGTGTAACTTGACAGTTTGTTGACTGATATGATGATTAGCTCAGACGCTTTGAGATGTGGCTTGGGTGAGATTCCTCTTCCTTTGTTAACTGCCTCTTACAGCCTGTGGCTTTAGTTGTGTGATTCCTGGTGAAGGTCAGCGACTGAGATGTTGCGTCTCTAACAAACTCAGTGAAAAGTGTGTAGCTACTCAAACTTATGCTAAATATAATTGCATTTCCCCACATATCATTTGCTGGGTGTGCAGTCGATGACCTTTAGTTCTACAAAAAAACTGAATGCTGAACCAGACGCATGTTATTCAGCAGCAGCCCTAACATTTAAATTTACTCAGACTGCTAAATCTTAATGCAATGTTGAAAATACTCCTCTCCCTCAGACACATCTCAGTTTAGGAGGAAATCGTACCTACAGTATAATTTATGAATGTAACAGTGCAACAGAAGTTGAATATTTAGAAAATGTGTGATGTCTTCAGTCCAGCAACAAACCAAAAAACTGCTTCCCTCTGTTTCTAAGAGCTTACAATGCAAATGTGTCTAAAATGTCCTCATACTTTGTGTCATTGTTTCTCCATTAATCCTACCTTCAGATAAGACACAAATCTTATGACTTAAAATATTGTAGCACACTCAAAATTACTTACCAAGTATTTGTTTTGGGCCAAAAAAGCATTTTAAGAGAAACATATAGGTACTTAAGAGTTGGTTTTAAGATCTGTAAATAGTTACAGAAAATGAAATAGAGATACTATCTTACAACTTTATTTTCTTACATGCATACATAGCACTATATATTTTATTTTACATTCCACAGCTATTTTGTTTTACAAAAGTTAAAAAGATTATATAAAAAGATGCTTTAAAATTCTGAAATGAAGCAATATTTCCATTAGATTGTATTGCTTTGAGTAGTATAATGAATAATACGCCACAGCATTAATGTGAATTGATTGACACGACAAACAAATGAGTGATTGAAAAAGCCTGAATATGATTTTTTTTTTGTGACATCCCATTGTGTACTTTCTTTAAAATGTATTTCACTCATTTTAACTTGTAGACCGCCTGATTTCGACTAATTCTGGCTGGGATAATTAACTCTTACAACATATTTGACTTTATATTGAATCGCTGTACATGCCCATGTTGGAATTGACACTTGCTATTTAAATGTGAAATCTGCTTAAAGATGCAAACCGTTTTGTCTCCACAGAGGTAAAAGGGTTCATAATGATGTCAAGCACTTTTTGTGCCAGTGTTACTGTAGCCTTGCTCAGTCAAAAGCAGCACTATTGTAACAGTGAGCTTAAGTTCAAGTCTTATCATTATCCAGCAGCAGCTGGACATGGCGTTAACATTAAAAGAAGACAAAAGACGTAATGTGAGGCCATTAGCAAAAGACTTCAGCTCACTCCTGTACTGGTGCTTTTGATTTAAAACTGGGTCAAAGCCGTTGAGTAAATGTCGGGTCGCATGGCTCTTCTTGTTTAATGTTGTTGAGAATGTGCTCTGTACACCAGCTTTGTCTAACAAGACTCTCCCCTTAGGTTGTCTGAGCTTTTATTTGCCTGCGCATTTGTTCCTGGTAATAAACAACATTTCTCCTAGATGCAGTGGAGACATGCATGGGATATTCACTAGATTTCAAATCCATTGGGGGGGGGTGAACTTTTGCTATTTTTTTCCTTTAATGTGAAGATGTATATTGTACAAAAAAAATATATATATATATACAGTATATATATATAAAAATAAGTTATACATGGTGTGAGAAGCAGGGGTGTGGTAGAGTATAACAACAAACAAGAATGTTACACTCACGCTACAGTTTGTCGTTCCATGACATGCTTTGTGGACAGCTAATAAACGACCACAGTTTAACCATATCATGACCATTTTTTGCTTTACCTCAGGCATGTTTTTAACCACGCTAGTGACGTGGCAATGTCAGTCTGTCTGTCTGTCAGCAGTCTGGTCCAGCACTCTGACTCAAAATGAACTAGCTCAACATCTGTGTGGGAGTGTTGTGATATTTTGCACCTGTGGTCCCAAGAAGATGAACATTAGCATTGCCCTGACTTCAGTCATCCACTTAATTACAATATTTTTAGAAGATGGACTGGAACAAACTTTGGTTCCCTTTGCGTTTATTGCTGCAGTGCTATTTTGCATCTACATTACATGAACTGTTGATGTCTACTTGTACAAGTAAGTAAAGAAGTGGATTCACTGTTAAGACTGCAGTTTATTAGGCACACCAAGCTAAAACTAAGTCAGTCTAATACAACAGTCCTGTTGTGAATCCTCCTTGAAGGTGGTAATTTTCAGTCTGTGTTCAAACTGTTTCCCAGATGTGTTGATTCAACTGATTCATCATTTAGGGAGGCTAGAGTTTGTTCTGCTGTTGAACTGCACAGCATCATACAGAGATATTTCTCTTGTTTAGACTAGCCTCACTGACTGGACACAAAGTAGCAACAACTAATAATATAGAATCAATTTACTCATAAAAAGACAGTACTTTATGAATAACATTCAGTCACAGAAATAAAAGATGAAAGCAAACAAAGCAGTGTTATTTGGCAAAAACTTAATTTCTTTACAAGGACACAGCCACATCCCCTGAATAAAAATGTGACAAATCTGGCAACGGCCCAGCACAAGGGAGTTTTATCGATCCCTTTACTTGGACTGAGCAAATTAGTCAGGGTACTAAAAGTCATGGCAGCTCCCTCACAAAGCCAGTGGACTGTCTGCAGTCAGACTGAGGAAAAAAATGTATGGTCATAAAAAGTCTTTTACAAGAGTTTGGCCATGATTCCATTTTTGGGGATTCCTGTTTTTTCAGTCAGGACTGAAGATACAAAAGGAACTATCCTACCACTCCTCCATGGAAGCATATGCCACTGTAGTCATGCAAGACAATATATGGGTTGCAATAGGTTGACACTACATGATATGACCATATACATACCTCACACTGTGCTAATATTTAGCCTCAATATCTTTGGCTTCTGGGCAAATCACATTGAATACATCAACTTGTGCTATGCATACATATAAAGAGCATTTTTCCTGCTTTTCTTAAAGTTTACTGACATAACAATTAATCAATTAACCATGAAAATAATCGGGTTCTCTCCGGGTACTCCGGCTTCCTCCCACAGTCCAAAGACATGCAGCTTAGGTTGATTGGTGTCTCTAAATTGCCCATAGGAGTGTGTGTGAGTGTGTGTGCATGTGTGTGGTTGTTCGTCTCTGTGTTAGCCCTGCGATGGATTGGCGACCTGTCCAGGGTGTACCCTGCCTTCGCTCGATTGCCGGCTGGGATTGGCTCCAGCCCCCCCGTGACCCTGTTCAGTAGAATATGAATGAATAATCAGTACATTAATAAATAATTTCAGCCCAAATATATACACTGATCAGGCATAACATTATGACCACCTGCCTAATACTGTTTACATAGGAGTCAATGTGGCAGTTGGTTGGCACTTTAGAGAGAATTCAACAGCCTCACCTCTCTAGGTGTGATATCACCACTACAGCCCCTGACTCTTTCTCTTCATAGAGACCAATGTACAGTATTTCTCATTTTCAACCATTTTAACAAAGATTCAAATAAGTTTTAATCTTTAGAAAAGTACAAATGGAAGTTAAAAGTTTAATCTACAGTAGATCAACCTCATCATCAGTGAGCCGTGGGCGTCCATGACCCTGTCTCCAGTTCACCGTTTGTCCTTCCTTAGACACTGTTGGTAGGTACTAACCTCTGAAGACCAACAACACCCACCAAGACCTGCAGTGTGGGAGACGCTCTGACCCAGTCATCTCACCATAACTGTCTGGCCCTTGTCAAACTCACTCAGATCCTTACACTTGCCCATTTTTCCTGCTTCCAACACATCAACTTCAAGGACTGAATGTTCACTTGCTGCCTAATATACCCCACACACTGACAGGTGCCATGAGATAATCAGTGTTCTTCACTTCACCTCTCAGTGGTCATAATGTTATGCCTGATCAGGGTGTAATCTGCATTTACTCTGTTTATATTCTATCACAACTGACAAAAGTCACTGGTCTGACACTGGGTTAATTATTATCCATATTGCCTTAACCTAATCAGAAAATCTCAATATATAATTATTCTAAGTTTAAGCATTCAATGAGCAGTCTACCATAGCAACAATAACAGAAAAATATTTAGATGTATAAAGAGTTAAATTGACCTATTTCAGGGTTTTGTTTTCTGTGTCAAGTATGCAGACAACCTCAGCCAAGTATTAATTCATCAAGGTCAAGGTCAAAGGTGTTTATTTGTCATATGCACAGTTAGGAAACATGTTTCCCTGTACAATGAAATTCTTACTTTGCTGTCTACATTAATGCCACATAAACAAGTGAAATATAAAGTAGATGAGCAATACCACAAATCTAAATAGGTAGTAAAATCACAAATCTAAGGCACTTTAAAACAGCAAGTAAAGGAAGCAAATAAAAATACAAGAAGAACACAATATAACACAGAGAGAATATATGCTACGTGGGAGCTGTGGAGTGTAAATACTCAGCAGTGAGTATGCAACTATGCATGTGCAAAATGTAAACAGTACAGGTGGAATTACATGAGGTAGATCCTGAGTCAGCTGTTTAGGAGTCTGATGGCAGTCAGAAAGAGTTTTTCAGTCTAGTGGTCCTGCATTTCACACTTCTGAGCCTCCGACTGGAGGGTAGGGGTATGAACAGTCCATGCTGGGGGTGAGTGGGGTCTTTGAGGATGGAGGCAGCTTTCCTACGCACCCTGCGGTGGTAAATGCTCTGCAGAGAGGGCAGTGGAGTCCTGGTGATCTTCTCCAGTCATAGGAGAAAGGTGCAACTGCAACCAATGTTTATTGTCATTATCAAATGATTGTTACATTTATAAAATGTCAGAAAAAAATCACCACATTAACATATTCAAATGCTTTTTCTTGTATATGAAAAATGGTCAGAGTATAAAAGATGTAGAGTTTACTAACCTAGAAAACTATTAAACTAGAAAATCCTCACATCTGAGAAGCTGATACCAGTACATTTTTGGGTAGTTTTGCTTTAAAAATAATTTAAACAATTAATTAATTAGCATAAATTCTTCTATTTTTTTTCAATCGACTAATTAAATATACAGTTAATCGTTTGCTCCTAAAGAGCCTTGTCTTGGAACGGCTCATTTCCTCAAATGGCCTCCAGGGGGCCATAATAGACCGAACATCTTTAAGAAAGCCCAGGCGAAGAAGAACGTGTTTTCGCTGCAAAGTTGGACAAATTTTTTTCACGGTGTTGTTTTCTTGACTGAAGTTACGAGAATAGATGTCTTGGCAGGTCGCATGAGTATACGACGCCGTGGTGACTGAATAAAACCAGTGAAACGCATGTTATTGACTACGCCTGCGCACTTGAAACAGAAATATCGAGCCGCCCTTCCTCTCCGCCAACTCGCACCGCAGGGTCGGGCGGACGTCGACTCACAACAACCCCGAGTTGATTTGCTTATCTGATTGAATACTTTCCTATACAAAATGGAGAGTCTACATGGCATTGAAAACGGTAAGTCAATGATAATTCAAGCATGTGTCACCCATCGCGACTTTTTGGGTTTTCTTTTGGATTGTGTGCGTCCGATTTTGAACATGGCGTACGCCGCTCCGAGATGGCGGTAGCTTTGTGCAACGTTACAGCGACAAGGAGCTGTTGTGTGCGATAGTTACCAGAAGGAGCTTAACGTCAGTACGGCTAAGTAGCTAACTAGCCGTACTGATATTTTATCATAACAAATGTTGTAATGCAGCCAGCAGAATCAGTTGATTGCCCAAGTAGGTTAGTTAGCAGCTGAAACTGAGCAACGTATAGGCTGTCTGATGTTGCATTCAAGGACATCAACGAACTAGTGTCTGAAATACAAAACACCTAGCATTAGCTAAGTTCTGAAAGTCGAACCGGTATTAAAATAGCAACGCAAAATAGCAATAAAATGGCTATGAAGCCTTTCATTCTGACTTCTCTCCAAAGCCACTCCTCCAAAACACAACACATACGGTCTGACTACTACTTATGCATTTCAGGAAAATAAGAAATAACCCTCAAACTAATCAAAACTGATAATTACCTGTCCAATAGCAATACAACCACCATGGTGTCATTTTTTTGTTCTCTCAGTCATCACCATTGTTTAAAGCCACACCAGTGTTAATCCTGTTTTTCTTGCAGTATCCAACTTCTTTTTAGTTGTAACTTTACAGAATACGGCGTTACCCACCTAGATCTGTGTGGGTAGTACCGTATTCAAGGGAGGCCAGCTAACTCCATTCAAAACACAAGCTTTATTCTGCCTTGGTAACACAAACACTGCATGTGGCCTTTGGCGCCCCGTTAACTGCATTACAGTCCTATCTATACAATTAAAGCTGACTACTCCTGGTATTTTCCCCTTCCGTGGCAGCATGTAAAAGGAGTCTCTTCTCTTCTTGCTCTCATACTGTGCACACTGCATGCAGGTAACAGCTTCTTGGCTCATGCAAAGACAGAGCGCGTGCAAGTAGGAAGTTAGGTTGACAGGCAGGTAGGCCATCCAATGGTCAGGCTTTGTTTCCAACCTGCTGCTGCCACAGATGACAGCGGAGTTGTTTCTTTATGCTGTCAATGTATTTAATGTATTCATAGCCATCAGGATGAAAAGAGAATTTTACCTTTAAAAAGCTAGAAACAGCAAATATTTCACAGTTTTGCTAAAGATAGCCTTGCAACACTTTTCAGGTATTGAAACATTTGCCAATTAAGTGGTTAATTGACTAATTATTGCAGCATGTGACAGTTTACAGTAGTAATTTTATTAAAAATTTTGGTTGGGGATACATTTGTTTTGGAACAAAAAGAAAATAGGCATAGCAGTATTAGCTAAATTCAAGGATGTGTATCTATCATTATAAGCCAATAACATTTTTGTTTCATTTATATTAGCACTGGTGACAAATAGTCAGCATTAGTCTTTTTAATTGTACTATATTTTCCAGAGTCACCTCTTCTGTTGCCGTCTCTGCGCCTCTTCATACCCCCCCTGCGCCTGGTGTCTGCAGCCATGTGGCAGGTCGTCCACAGCGGCAGTGTGGAGGACTATGGGTTGGTGGAGGAGTTCATCAGCACAGTTACAGAAATTGTGCCTGAACTATTGAATGCAGATCAGAAGGCTCAGCTCCTCTTGGCACTCAGATCACGGGTAAGTGAGATATGTTTCTTTAGTACTTTTTATGCTGAAACGCAGGTGAGTGCAACAACAGCACTTTGGTTTTTAACCACAGATGTTAACCTGTCAAACCATTATGTGCTGATGAAGGGGTTTTTATATTCCTTTGAAAGAAAAAGTCATTGGCACCTGCAAGGTGCTCTATGTCTTGTATGAAAAGACTAATTAAAGATTGTAATATTCAAGTTCTTCATCCTGAGAGTATACAATTAAAAACATTTCCAGGTGGTGCACTGTCTGTTAATATTTACCCAGTGGTGAAACCATTTGCTGCAGGTGGTTCTTGAATTATGCCGAACTGAGCAGATAACGGATACAGAAACCATCGAGATGCACCTGGAACGGATCAAAGCCCTGGTATCCACTTGGGCAGCGCAGGTTAGCTTCTTCACATGTGATTTTCTGGTCTGCGGTGTGCTCATGTTTTTCATCATATGTTTTTTCTTTCTGCTTAAACTTCGACTGTGCGTACTTTTTGTTGCAGCCATGTTTTGCAGATGTTGAGTTCCCTGAATCAGACTTTGTGGATCAAGTTGAACTTCTGTTGAAAGACCCTGAAGAAAAGGAGAAGTTTTTCCAGGTTTGCGATTTGTGTCTTTGAATTTATGTGTTATGCTAAATGCAATATATAAACTGAAGTAGTATTTCAGCATTAAATTCTGTGTTTTTGATTTGCTCCAGGATGTTTTCCCGACGGATTTTGGGCCAGAATATGACAGCGCTCTACAGGTGCTAATGCTGGACTTCCTGTCCAGACTGGAGAAGCTTCTTCCGATACCAGACATCCAGCAGGTACTGGAACATTTGTGGAATCTAATCTTTGTGTAACCCCTTAGTTTGTCACTTACCAAAAACATTTATTTGAGGTAAAAAGGAGACCCTGACTGTTTGCAGGAAGACAAAACATTCACCTAGTATTAGCCAAATCTTATTAGCATCAATCTGTTGGCTTGTTTTAAACCCTTGTCATGACTGAACACTGTTTTTTTTTGTTTGTTTGTTTTTTTTTTTTTTTGGTACACAACTATGGTGGATATGACAGTGTGCATATTCTTACCCCTTAAACATTTTTTAACTGCATTCTTCTGTCTCCTCCCAAGACGGCATCTATGCTCAGTGCTGTTCCATCTGCCCTCGAGGAGTGTGTGCACTCAGTTCCTGACCCACAGCACCTGAAGACTGTGCTCCTACACCACACCACACTGGGACATTTTGATTTATCTGGTGAGTCTCATCTGGGCTGCAGGTACTGTCAGTTCTTTGTGAGTGTCTGCAATATGTAATAAAAATTGAACTTAATACTTGTTAAATAATATTTTATCCATGTGTTAGTGGTTAATGAGTGCATTTACATACCTGTTATGATCGTGTCGTATCCCGGTTTAACATATTTGTCCTTCACCCAACTGGAGCACTGAAGAACATCAGCTACGTTTCTCAAAACCTGACATACAGTACAGTACAGCTACAGTACTTCAATAGACACCAAAGGAGTGTTTCATAAAGGTGGCTGAGAAAAGCTCTGCTAATTGTGAAAAGTAAACTGAACCAGGATTAATCTGCTTCATAAAGCCAACTCTGCACTCCCCCAGTCAAAGCTGGTTTATTTCAAACACAGACATGAGAGATCAAGCACTGATCCTGTCAAATTACAATGGAGAAATGTAAATCCAAAACTGCAATGTGTGTGTCCACAAGTAGCTCACATTTAGTTTATGATATGGAGAGTAAATATTAGCAGCTAAAACCAACAAAACCAGTCTTTAATTTAGGAAATAACTAGGGCTCTCCTGACCAATGACTAGTCGAGTCATTGGTCGAGAGACCCATCAGTCTACTGAGACTCTCTAGCTGAACCTTTGTTACTATTATATTTTATTTTTGTCAGCCATTGTGCATTACAGTAGAAGGTAGCCACATAACTCATTAGTTTGTCATCTACTTCTGCTCATTAAATATTCGCACTGAATGGCCGAGTCCTGAGTCAATTCACAAAATTCTTAGTTGGGTACAGCCCTAGAAGTAAAGGTAGACAAAATCGTAATTACATTAACATTGTTCATCATAACTTTCTCAGCAAAGTTTAGTAACCTTACTTTCATGTATGAAGTTTACTGTGACAAGACAACAATGTTCTCAAAAACAGAGAAAGCCAGCAGCACTTTATGCAGTTGTATTATGAAAAGAAGATAAGAAGAAACATAGCTGTCATTCTGCAATCTCAGTCAGAACTACAGTTTTAACCAGGGCATTTAAAATTCTACTCCGATAATATTACAAGAGGCTTGCTGCAGTCTCTGATGGATCTCTTGACAGCAGCCATGAGGGAAAGTGGACGCTGGAGCTGCTCAAACTACCAGACAGTTGACCAAAATGTTTACCATGCTAGAAATTCAGCTGATTATCTGGCATGAGGTTGTAGCCTCTCAAACTGTCAAATGAAAAACGGCCTGGAAATGACTTCACACACCCATATAGTCACTCTAAAATGTCTTGGTCATGACTGTGACTGACAACCCCCCAAACACACACACATACATGGTTCAGCACACATGAACGGCGGATTAATTGCAGAGTTTAAAATAATAATTTCCTTAAATCTTGATGCAGAGTGAAAAGATTCAGACATGCGTCACAGTGAAAAGCTTTACAGACTTCTGATCTGAAATGAGTCAAAGTTTGTGATCCCAATCAAACCATAGAGTTTTCAGATCCACTGCGCCCCTATAGTTATCCATGTTTACTGTCAGGGAACTGATGTTAGTTTAGTTTACGGCCACTGACCATAAAGTTGACGGGATTCTTCTTTTCACCACAGATGACACTCAGACCATTCCTTCTTCCATTGGGAACTGCATCCTGTCGTCACTGTCCCTCCCTCAGCTGGAGAAGGTTGTAATCGATGCCGACCAAATACACTTAAAACCTCCATCAGAGCAGCTGGAGGGTTGCATGACTGTCCAAATGGAGGGTGAAACTGTGACACTCTTGGACTACATTCAGATTGAACCGGCGTCGGGTTTGGTTGAGCCTGATGATCAGGATGAAAATGCAGTAAATGTGGAGGAAACTGCTGGAGATGCAGCAAATGAGGACATCGGCAGCACCTTAAAGCCAGCAGCTTTTCAACCACTGAAACAAAGCAAAAGGCTCCAGTTAAAGAGAAAAACTTTAAAAGAAAATGACTTAACTGCTGCCAAGAGGCAAAGAAAGAAATACCCCAACAATAAGACATGTCCTGTGTGCAGTAAGACTTTCCTGCGAGCTGCGGCCATGAGACGACACCAGGAAATCCACTCTGTAAATCGGGATCTCAGGTACAAGTGTGACAACTGTGACAAACGATTCAGGGACCATTATGACATGAACAGACACAACATGCGCGTTCATGAAAAGGAAGAGATGAGTGGCAACACTACAGAGGGGGACCCAGGAGATCCTAGCACATCACAGCTGTCAGAAAACAAAAACTGCACTCTGTGTGGGAAGTTTTTTGCCCGCCAAGTAGACATGGAGCGACACATGAAGTCCCACTCAGAGGACCGCCCCTATCAATGTTCTTTCTGTGAGAAGAAATTCAAGAATCCTTATGTTTTAAAGAGACATCAGAAGGAAATTTGTAAGAGCAAAGAGCTGAGAAAGCCTAAGAGGAGAGAGAGGCAGCGATCAAATCCACAGCCTCCTTCAGAGGGGTTGACAGAGGGTAAAATCTGTCCCATCTGCAGCAGGGTCTTACCTTGCACCGCAGACATCGCAAAACACTTAAGATCTCACTCAGAGGACCGTCCTTTTATTTGTGTCACTTGTGAGAAGTGCTTCAAGTACAAGGATACATTGAAGAAGCATCAGATTATTCATGGTCACGAGGGAATCAGAGAGGAACAGACCAAGACTGTGGAACAGATCTTGGCTGAAGCGGACACTCAGAATTGTGGCGATACTAGTGGCCCTGATAAACCAGGAGGTAATCCTGATGCACCTGCAGACGCTTCTAGGGAGCCCCCATCTGCACCTGTGCAAAAAGTCAGCAAAAAAGCACTAAAAGTGTGTCCTGTCTGCTCAAGGGCATTCGACAGTGTCAAAACACTGAACAGGCACGTACAGTGTCACACAGATGATCGGCCCTATCATTGCGTCCACTGCAAGAAGCGTTTTAAACACATGCACGGGCTGAAGAGACACCAGATTTATGCCATCTGTCACAAGAAAATCACCACATTCTTATGGAAAAAGATGCCAAGAGCAGGGCCCAGCCATAGTGAGGTACTCGGTACTGACCCCCAACAGGGGCCGCTGCTGAAGATACCTGTGTGGTGTTCAAACTGTGGCAAACACTTCGAATACCTGTCCGCACTGAAGGAGCACCAGGAAAACATGTGCAAAGTGGAAGTGAGGGAGATTATGAACTGTG